TTTTCTAAATAATGGGAAAAATGACTAAAACATGACACTGAAAGACTACCGAAACAAAAATGGGTTGTTAAGAATATAAAAGAGATAGAATAGACAGTTAGTCTGATCTAATATGGATCGTATATAGACAGTAGTTAAAGTCGAAGGCTCTCCTAGGGTTTCCTTGAGGAAGAGGATCAAGTTAGGGAACAGGAAAATATATATTATGCAGTGTAAGCCTCTACAAAGAAATATACACTACAAACTTCCAATTAGGACTCAAAGCTCAAATGCTACGACAGTTAACAGTTATCATGTGTATTCATATGGAAAGATTTCTCAATTCTTCTTTTTTAACAAAAATATCATTTCAAAAAGAGCCCGTATGTAGTTTTTTTCATTCCAAAGAGAAAAATCTGAAGGAAAAACAAAGTAAATTAAGGTAAAGTTTGTGCCACCATATCCATACAAATTGGATGGAAAGAGACATGTATGAAAAGAGTTGGACTCTCGTACTCATTCGCCAAGAAAACTCAGGTCTTCTTTAGACTTTAAGGTGTTAACCTAGTTCAACACAAGAAAGAAAAAGAGAGAGAGAGAGAGAGAGAGAAAGAGAGAGAGAAGGGAATTTAAATAAGAGGAAAGTCTTCAGTTCTGTTAGACTCGTGATTAAAAGTTCATAACTACAAACACATCTAATCTATTGACACATGGCACGATCCTAGCTTTCATTCTCTAGCAAAAAGAACATTGCACTAAGAAACGAAATCAGTATATAAATGCACCAAAAAGAAAGAGTATACCTTTAAACTCGTCACATCATCGACATAGGTAGAAAAATAAACTGATCATTAAAAGGTTTTCTTGCATGTGGCCATCCTTTTTTCTCTATATTTTTTTATTTATTTATAAGATGCATGTTATTATATTCGCAATCAACCATCATTCTATATTCCTAAGTTTTTGGATTCTATAGTTTAACAGCTAATGCTAAAGATAGTATGAATCAACTAAATATTAATCATATAATTATTAAAAGTTGAAGCTAGAAATCCTAATACGGCATGTTTGATTTTTAATTTTTTTTATAAACGACTGATAGTTTTAAATATAGTGTCGTTAAACAAACCTTAAAATTAACTGAGTACACCCTAATATTTTAATTAAAATGTAAAATTAATTAAGTATACCCTATTTAACTACCAAAAATACCCCTGGTACACCCTATTACACTATCATAGAACACCCTAATACCAATCCTGGACCAAGTTTCTTTTTTTACATGAATTCGTTCCCTCTTTTCATATTTTGAATTCGCATCAAAATCTTTAATTTTGTAAGCCATTGTGGGAGTAGACTCACTAGCTCCTTCAATTCAAAGCTTGATTCTTGTAAATCCTTGTGATTTTCTTCTAAATATGTGAAGGGGACTCAAACTTCTCTGTCAAATTACTAGTGAAATGCATCATCACTAGTCCGAAATCCTTGAGAATTTTGGATGCTTCCAAGTTAGAAGAAAAGTTTAAACCCTGGGATTTTAAAGTCATCCACTTCAACTTTATTGTATGGATGATGTTGAGCTAAGAAGTCAGACTGGAACAAACTTTTTCATTCAAATATGGCTGCCCATCTTTTACATCAGGAAGAATCAAGTAGATGGAGAAACGCTGACATTTGTCTTTCGCCGTGTTTATAAGGAAGCTCTAAGCCTTTGAAGTATCAAAGGCCCTTAAAATTATACGAAAACTTCTCTATGTTTGATTAGGGTTGAATATAGTGAGTCTTATTAAAATTATATTTGTTTCACAATTCCATATATCCTTTTTGGTCAATTTATATTAGGGTAAATTAGTAATTCAATAAATACTTTGGTAATAGAGTGTACTCAGTTAATTTTAAGGTTCGTTTAGCAACACTCTTTTAAATATACTTTTAAACGGGCCAACTCACTCAAAAAAAAATTACGTCATAACAATGAAACTGGTCACAACTAGATATCAAACTCGTTACAAATATATATCGTCCTTACATCCATGTTACGCACAAATTAATCTTTAGTTTTATGAAGATCTTTGTCGCACATCTTTCATTCTTTCTCTTCCTTTCCTCTCTTCTTCCTTTTTTACATATTGTTTAAAGTTTACTAGGGTTTGAGTTTGAAAGTTTCGGGTTTCCTTAAATTTGTGGTTTGAAAACAGAGTTAAAGCTTACAAACATGATTTCCGACAATATGCGACCAAAACCATGGTTAAAGTTAAAGATATGGTATATACAATACCCAATAAAATGACAGAAAGATCCCTCATGTCCCTCTAATATTATAATGCTTTTACCCAGAAGGACATGTTCAATTGAGGATTCCATTAAAGGAAAGTGGCTCAATTTAGGTGCAAAATCATTTGAGGGACACAGAAGCCCCAGCGTGCCGAGAGCCATATGCATAGCCAACATATAGTGTTGAGTAATCACCAACATATTATATTCGAGTATACATCAACATCTTCATTTTAGCAGCTAATTCTAATAGCTTATTATCAGAATTGTGATGCTAGAGCTAGCTAGATTCTAATCAACAGAAAAGCTCTGTGTTTAATAATGTCAAATTACTTGTTCTTTGGTTGGTGTTTGGAATTTCAATGCTTCCAAAGTTCTTTCCGGACCCCTTCCTCCCTCCTCTGGCCATCACCGAATTCAACATAGCAATAACCTGTTATATATAACTACAATCCCATAATAATACGGATTGCAAAATAATTTGCGTGAAAAATCAAATCAAGTAAACCAAGACAAACTAGCTAGTGGATGACAAAAATGTCTTCCACTACCAAAATTCCACACAGGAATTAATCCCATAAAACTTAGAATGAATGCATCTTATAGTATTTGATTTCAAGGTATTATTTAACACTCATATATCAACTTTTTATCGTTTTAAAGAAAAAAAAAACCCTATTCGCGTTCTTTTCTCTCTCAGTTCCAAAGAAAAAACACAATAAAGAGAGGACGAGGAAGAAGAGTCACTGCCCCTGTTCCACTCTGCTATCTTCTTTTTTCTTTTGGCTTAGTGAATAAGTCCCTTAGGACATTTTGAATCAAAAGCATCTTTGGTGATTTATTTTGAGCTATGCTCATACTGAAGTTCCTCGTAAACTCTTTTGGGTCAATTCCTCAATTAAATCATCCTTCTCCCAAAACTCTCTCTCTAAAACTTCTAATCTTCTTTAAATTTAGTTTTACCTCGCATTTGAAGGAGTTTTTTTCACTCTACCCAATTGTTTTTTGTCATGATTGTTCGATTGGTATATTTGTTCCTTGTTATGTGTAGTTACATCACGCAAAGGACCTATTAGTGTAGTAGTTTGGAAGTAATTGCTCTCTCAGGTAAAGTCTTAGGTTCAAGTCCTAGCATCCGTATTGTGTGTATGAATTTAGTATATTATCACCCCTCTCAATAGGAAGGGTCCTAAAAAGAGTGTTGTTACATCCACTGTACGAAAAATTGATAATTTTGCCGATATTTCAGCGAAATTATCGTTTTTTTTTGGGCCGCGATATTTTAGCACATTTCTAGCCAAATATATCGATAATTTCTCCCATATTTCATTCAATTGGCAGCTTTAAATGGTCATAATATCGCGATCTGAACTTTCAAAATTAAAGAAAACTCACTTCACGCATGCAGAGGTTCGAACCCCTTCCTCATTCTAAGGTCTACAGTCACTTAACCATCACGCCAGTCATCACTTTGGGATAATAAGATATGGAATATGTATTTATAATACATGCTAGTTGTTTCTCAAAATAGAAATTAACATAATTACTTATTGTTTTATATTGTTGATCAGTTACTTAATTACTTAATATAATTTATTTCTTTTCTATTTAATCCATTTAATGTTATTGATTATTTTATTATTCATTATAAGTACTTACATTACTAAATTCCCCTTCAAATTGTTGCTTAATTACTTAAATCTCTATAATTATTTTCTTTGTTTACTACTTAATTCTTCCTTTGATAAATTTATTTATGTTCTTAGTTAATTTTCAATCTTCACTATTATTTTTTAAGTATGGTAAAGTGCCTAATTTTCATGAAAAGTCAAGTTGGTTTAATTATTTTTCAATTTTTGATAAATAATAAATATAAGAATGTGTACCGTGTCCAATGAATAATGTGAAATAAGGTTACACGTGTATCTTACCATGCAATTTATAAAGTGTAAAATATTGTACTAAAAAATGATAAATAAATTACTATTGAGAAATAAATTACTAAGGGATGTTTAATTATCTTTCATTAATTACTCCAAATTTTCTAAGTCACAGAGTTTGTTAGCTCGCAGTATAATTAACTTAAATCACTCAAACCCACTATGCAATGCATTTTCTTCCAATTTTTTGTGTCAAAATAATAGATGATTGACTAAATAAACTTCTTCTAAAGTTTCATTAAAAATTTCCATGTATTTATCACAATTTCCGAGGTTTTTATCCAATTTTTGTCGATATCGATATTTTTCCGATATTTCCATCGATATTTCCATCGATATTTCCGTGTTTTTGAACCACCGATATTTCCGAAACTATCGATACCGTGTTTTTGAACCACCGATATTTCCGAAACTATCGATATTTAAGACCTTGGTTACATCAATGTAAACCATTTTTCTGAGATCTGTCACAAGTTTACATTCACTTAAAGGCTATATGCGATGGTGGGTTTGACGACGACGCTTCTTCAACTGGTGGCGACAATTTTCATTCAGGCTCATGGGTTGTTTTAGGATTTTGGCTAATTTGGGTTTTGTGAGCTTTGTTTGAGATTATGTTTAATTGTAGTAATGTGGAATAGTAGTTGTTGGTACGGCTTTTGTCAACTTTTGTTTTGTTTTTTAGCGTGTTAGTTTTGTTTCCTCTTGAGTTAGTAATTTGGATATCATTTGATGTATCAATTTCTTTGTTAAAGATTATCTAATGAAGTATCTCTTTGATAAATAAACAAAAAAAAAAATTGTTTATCATATTACTTTGTTTTTCTTTTTTGGGTAGAGCTTATGAATCATCAAGTGGGAAACTGAGGAAGGCCCGAGGACGTTTCCCACTAAAGGATACGAACAGATGCAATTGCACTTGGCATACACAAACCTTCTCCAAAATTGTATCATTTTTAATTGCCACTTTTGTAAAAGTGTGAAAAACTCTAAAGCTTCCACAGAATTCCAGTGGCCAGAGTGCATGCTACCACTTTTGAGCGGGTCCCCTTCCTCCTTTCCTAAAATCTCAACCATAGCACTTACACTCCTCTCTATCTCTCTCTCTGTCTTCCAATTATCATCTTACCTTCCCCATATAATCCCCACAACCCTCTACAATTACATCCCGACCTAAGTATATATACGAAAATATCTATATATGTCATGTGTGACCAGAATCAAAATACTCACGGACATTGCGCCAAATATAACCCACCCCTTGACCTTCCTTCTCAGCCCTCCTTCGGCCACACCCTTTTACACCAAGTCATCCCACGTTCTCCTCTCCCTCTCTTCACCACCAGAACTTGTTCAATTACTAAAACACCCTCCCCTCCCCACCACCATGGCATCAAGCTCTTGCGGGAAGCAGACTAGGTACCATGGAATACGGTGCCGGGGCGGAAAATGGGTGTCCGAAATCCGTGAGCCACGTAAGACTAGGCGGATATGGCTCGGGACCTACCCAACCCCGGAGATGGCAGCGTCTGCCTATGACGTGGCCGCGCTCGCTCTCAAGGGCGGTCATGCTGTTCTAAACTTTCCGAGCTCCATTGCCTTGTATCCAGTGCCAGCATCCAAGTCACCGGAGGACATTCGCAGTGCCGCCGCCGCTGCTGCCGCTGCTGTTTCTGCTGCACTACAGTCGAATGAGGAGGCCAATAACAGCCTGGAACTCAAGGAGAGTCCGAAGAAGCAAGAGGACGACATGACGACGATGATGAATAGTACTAGTTTGGCTTCGTCTGTGGGAATGGACGAAGAAGAGCTTTTCGGGATGCCAAATTTGCTGGCCGAGATGGCAGAGGGAATGCTGTTGTCTCCGCCGAGACCGCCTGATTATCCCGAATCGGGCAATTCAGACGGAGGAGAAAGTGGTCTGTGGAGCTTTTGATTAATTATTACCGTTATATTTGCCTTAATTATTAATTATTAGAGTTCTTTTTCATCTGCAATATTGTTCTTTTTTTTCTTAATGAGATTTGAATTGAATGGAGTATTTCTTTTGTGCAACAGATTTTTCTGGCCATATATATGGTTGCGATCAAACCAATGGAGTGTGCCTTTACAGAGAGACAAAGGATGCAAGTTTGTAAGCGACATGCTGACTTATATAAGACAAAAAATGAAAAAGAAATTATGGGCTGATGATGTGAAACGATTAGGACCACCCAATTCATTAAAAGATAAAGCTTTCTCATTAGGCTGGTGAGAAATGCTCAAAACTTCAAGGCTTTCCTACAAATGGAAATTCCTACAAATAGAAATTACCAAAAATGGAGAAATTCCTACAAATAGAAATTGCCACAAATGGAAATTCCTACAAATAGAAATTACTACAATTGGAAATTCACAAAAATAGAAATCACTTAAATGGGATCGCATCTCAATCCTTCCAACTTAAAGTACTAACGAACTTATCTATAAGCTATGGTCATTAAACAAGGTCAATAGTCGTCTCCCTTGCCATCAATCCGAGGGAGGGGGAGATCGATGTTGTCAACAAAGACTTGCCGGATAAAGAGTAGGGGAGAGGGATTTCAAAGAAAATAGTTGATGTTGGGTTTGCATATGTGCATTATAATTAAACAGCAGCTCACAAAATATTGTCCAAAACAGCAACTGTAAAGTACTACTTGAAGATTAACTAATACAAAAGCATTAAGTAGTGGAATAACAACCATGTTTAGCTAAGTAAAAAGGGAACAATTTAGCAACTTATTCTAGTTCTAATCTCCTTAGGGCTCGTTTGGTACACTGTATTAGACTTTGGATATCAGTAAATAGTCCATGTCAGGTGTTTGGTGTCAACTTGTATTATTTAATCACCGGATTATTTTAAACAAGTTGAGCTTTTAACACTCTCTTTACCCGACTAACTAATACAACACACACACCCCGGTTCAGATAATACACGCTTAATTATATAGTTAGGGAAAAAGAACACACACGTTCACATAAAAAATCTGACGACACTATTTTCATCTTCTTCTCCCTAGGGTTCTTCTCTGCTATCTTCTCCAAAGGTTATCCTCTTCACTCCTCTCTCTCTCTCTCTCTCTCACATACGCTTCTTCTCTCTTCTTCTGTCTTCATCTTTTTTTTTCTTTTTTTTATATTTCCACTTTTATTATTTTTTTATGGAAATTAGGTTATGAGTTTTTTATTTTTGACTTTTTTTTATTTTTTTCTTTTTTTAATGTATTGGAACAATACATGCAGTTGTGTATCCGACTCAATAATCAAATTATCAAATTATCATCATGCAGCTGTGTATCCAACTCAATACATGTTGCTAAGGGTTTCTTACGTTTTTTTCTTTATATTTCACCTTCTCTAGGTATCCAACCCAATAATCAAATTATCATCCCAAGTCAGCGATTAGAACAAGACATGCAGCAATGTTTTTCTTGTTGTATTGTTTTTTTTTCTTTTTAACTTTTTGTGCTTTGTTTGTTTGTTTTCTGGTTATATGAAGAAAAAAATATCTAGGCAAAAACAATTGAAAAACAAATCTTTTCATATGAATCTTATTTATTTTATAAAAAAAAAATTTGTGTCATTTGAATTTCAATTTCCACTTAAATTATCAAAGAATTTTTTGTAAAAAAAAGTCTGATTCGATGTTATCCGGAACAACACCAAACACAGTATAGTTTAGTCAAACTATTTATCCATAATAGCACCAAACACCTTATAATATTATGGATAAATAGTCAATACTCTCTAGAACAGATTAATACTATTCAACAAAAATTAGTTAGTACAATCCGACGTATCAAACGAGCCCTTAATCTTTTGAAATACTACTACAATAGACGACGGGGATCCATCATCGTCGTTAAATCGACTGACATCTTTTAACTGTCAAACTAAGACGGGTTTTCACCGTCGTTGTTCGTTGGAAAGACGACGGTTTTATGAACAACTGTCTTTTACCTTATAAGACAACGGTTGTTTTGTAAAAACCGTCGTTGTTTATCATTTAAGACAACAGTGTTTATAAAAACCGTTGTTGTTTATCTGTAAAGACGATAGTTTTATTGTAAAAACCGTTGTCTAATTAGTTCCCATGTTGTTGGCATGTGAATTCATGCTTAAAAACCGTTGCTGATTAACTATGGAGACGACAGTTGTATTGCCAATCTGTCGTCTAATAACTTCCCATGCTATTACATTTTTTTCCCTATGATTCTATACAACGATTTTAACTATAAAACCAATCATATAATGCTTTATTAATGAATATATATACACTCAAAAATTGTTTCTTTCAAAAACCTAAAGATTCAATGGTTATTACATAGTTAACCAATCTTTATTCCTACCACATCTTAGCACTAACCTAGAATTAGAAATAATTACGCATTGCTTACAAATTCTACCAATTCAATTTGAACTTCATCAATTTGTTCTTGGGTTCTTGCACATTTTCTAAGCTGTTAAAGAGATTCGTTGTTCCTGACCCTGCTTCACCTTAATTGTTATTTGAACAAGAAAAAGTTATGTCTTGGTCCGAGTGGGGATAGCATACCATCTTTCGGCTAACCTAGCCTCCTCCATCCCTCAGGACCAACAAAGGGTAGTACAAGAATATTCACCTGTTATTCATCGACTATGCCTTTCGGCATAATCTTAGGCCCTGACTCACCCTCCGTGGATAGAGGAACACTTAGGTTTTCTCGAAGAGCCGTATATTCTTCTTGCTGATCAACGATTATTACAATATCGGGTAACCCTGTCATATATTTAATTCATCTCTTATACTTCTACTTTTAAGAAATTTTATAGAGGTCAAATTTGGTATTTGGATATTTTTATTCCCCCCAATGTAGCGGTATCAGCGATTCAGCAAGGCTTGCAAAATTAACATCAAACTCCACAACACAAATCTTATCCTAAAGGCAGGAAGTGCTGTTGTAGCATGACAATAAGCATATGAGTGTTTCAGTATATTATATGATTCTAATAACCATGAGTACTTCAAAATTCCTAGTAGAATTTCTGCATGTAGTCTCCACATTACTTCATTCCATAGTATACAAACAAAAACTATGACCATACATCTAGAAACTCACTTCTTTATTTTTTTTCTCGTAACTGATAACCATGATATGATTAAATTCTGAGAATGAAAGACCAACTGAATGAAAAAAAAACAAAAAACAAAAAACAAGGCGCCAACAATAGTTGAAATATGAAAGAAATAAAAAGAGACGCACCTCTAATTGAATTCCCTGTATGCCAAATTATGGGGAAAGTAAAATCTGCATTATGGAAAAACCCCAATTAAAACAAATCCACTATTTCATTATAGCAGTAAAGCATATCATTTAAATCAATGATTCTTCATACAATGTTGATGAGATTGCATAACATGGCAGCTTTCATTAGTGTATCTTGGACTTGATGGGTCTGGCACCCAATCTCCAGTAAAAATGTCACATTTTACAGCCACAGTTCTAAAAGTAAATAAACCATAGGCTAGCAAAGGTTCAAAGAGACATTATGAAATGAAGCTAAGTAAAACAAAGAGTCATAGCCAAGCTAATAAATAAATACACCTGATTAGAATTTAGAATATTATCTTATTCCAATGCCACAACCTTTAATTTCTACAATTCAAGAAGGGGACTTAGTTAAGCAAGTAAAACGAAGAGTCATAGCCAAGCTAATAAAAACCAAGCTAAGTCAGCAAAACAACAACCAAACACAAAAACAAAGAAATTAGAAAACCAAAATTCATGAAACCTGAACAATTGCTTCTTGGAGTTTTGATTTAAACTAAGCACTCAAATGAACAAGCACAAAGTAATTATTGAAGGGAAACGAAGAACAAAAAAAAAACAAACAAACAAACAAACAGACAAAGGAGGGAGATGTACAAAACAAGAAGACATGCACACTGAAATCCAACAGCAAAAAACAAAAACAAAATCCACCTAATAATCAAACTCATTGATATAGATAAAAGGGTGGAGAAAGCTAAACCAGTATAACATAACCCTATAAATAGATTCTTGCCCAAATAAACCCAAGACAAGAGGAAAATGATGAAATTTGTGTTTTAGATCCTCTAATTTGGGAATTTAAGAAATAGTGGAAGAAGTTAGGGATTCTGATATTTGAGAATCAATGCAAATGAGAGAAAGGGAGGGAGAGGATGAGGAGGCTAACCTTTAAGATGTAAACGCCACCTACCAGAGAATGTTCACACATGAATTTGGAAAGGGAAGTAACATGAGGGAAATGGCAGCTCGTGACATCAACGAGCGAGCTCGGTGACCTGGACAACGCGAGGGAGATGGTGCTTCATATATGTGATAGAGAGATGAGATTGGAATTACTTACAGGGAGGCAGAGCTCGATGACCTCCTATGGCGCCGAGCTAGGTGATGACGGCAACCAAGGGGCTTAAGTAGCCTCGAACGTAAATAGCAAACGGTGACCTCCTATGCTGGTGAGCTCGGTGACGATGACAACAACGAACAATTAGATTTGTTTAAGAGACTGAGAAGATGAGATGAGAGGGAATGTTGAAGAGAGTTGAGGGGGTTTCAAAAGGAGAGAGAGTGATGTTTTTCGAGCCATGGGTGAAATCTGAAATTTTTAGGAATAGCATTTACATGAAACAGGAATAGCACTATATTTTGCTATATCCAGCCAATCACAGTATGTCACGCATAATAACTTTTTCACGTAGCATTCTGTGATTGGTCGGAAATAGCAAAATAGTGTTATTCCTGTTTTATAGAAGCATGCTAACTTTAAACTCGTCACATCACCGAAATAGGTAGAAAAATAAACTGATCGTTAAAAGGTTTTCTTGCATGTGGCCATCCTTTTTTACTCTGTATTTTTTATTTATTTATGAGTTGCATGTTATTATATTCGCAATGAATAATAAGCTTTTGGATACTACAGTTTAACAGCTAAAACTAAAAATAGTATGAATCAACTAAATATTAATCATATAATCATTAAGAGTTGAAGCTAGTAATCCTAATATGGTATGTTTAAATTGAAGATCAAATTCAATCCTTGTATTCATATACAGTCAAGG